CCATATTCATTAATATGCTCCCTTATGGTCCTATTTTTATATCCCGCTGTATCGTGCAGAAGGACTAGCACTAATGTGGTCCCCAAAATGAAACAGGTCTTGGTAATCCGCTCTCTAATCCCTGCCTGGTTTTGTGTCTGATTTAATTAGGAATCCCTGCTCAGGTGTCACTCTCCAGCCCCCTCCTCATTCAGCAGCTGGGGGACACCAGCACCTTTGGGGTGATCTGAGGATGGATCCAGCCCCAGCATCATATCGTATTGTATCATATGATTCTATATCATAGAATGGTTTGTGTTGGAAGGGACCTTAAAGATCATCTCATTCCACCCCCCCCCTGCCCTGGGCAGGGACACCTCCCACCAGACCAGGTTGCTCCAAGCCCCCTCCAACCTGGCCTTGAACCCCTCCAGGGATGGGGCAGCCACAGCTTCTCTGGGCAACCTGGGCCAGGCTCTCACCACCCTCACAGCAAAGAATTTCCTCCTGAGAGCTCATCTTTCTCCCCTCTTTCGGTTTAAAACCCTTCCCCTTTGTCCTATGGCTCCCCTCCCTGATCGAGAGTCCTTCCCCATCTCTCCTGGAGCCCCTTGAGGGACTGGAAGGGGCTCTAAGGTCCCCCTGGAGCCTTCTCTTCTCCACTGAACCCCCCCAACGCTCTCACAGCAGAGGGGCTCCAGCCCTCTGAGCATCTCCATGGCATCCTCTGAACCTATGCCAACCAGTCCATGTCCTTCTGATGGCCCCGGAGCTGGAGGTAGCACTGGGGGGGTCCTCTCTGATGGAGGCTTTTTGCCCCCCTAAGATGTCCCTGGTCCCTTGCTGCCCCTTCCCCCCCATTACCCCACATCCTCCCACCCCACAGAAAGCTGCACTTTGGGGTCAGCACCGCACTTTTTGCCAAGCTCAGAGCCATCCCAGGGGATGGTGCCGGGGGACACACACCGGCGCGGGGGCAAGTGGAAGCCGTCAGCACTCAGCCTGCAACAGCTGACAAGCCTTTTACTCATCAGAGGAAGCCGTGGAGAGGCACAAAGGAATTAAACCTATTTAAAACGCAGCCAGGTGTGCAAACAAGTTTATCCTATTGTAACAGCTAACGCGTGAGTCAGGGGGGCTCTATAAAGGTTACAACAGCCACATGGTTGTTTAGGGTTCCCTGGGAGAAGTGACATTTAGCTCCTGTGTGTTTGCTGGGGCTGTGGGACTCGCTGGAACCCCCGGAGATGCTGCCTTCACCCCACCGAGCCCAGGTCTGCATTCCCCCATCCCACACCGGGGTCAGCATCATCCTGCCCCTTCTCCCGTCCTCGCCCCAGCCGCTGCTGGCACCCCCAGGGGACTTGGCTTTGATTTCAGAATTTACTGCAGCAGCTGTTTAACATTTGTTTGCTGTTTGGAAACAGGAATTAACGGCGCTCGGCAAAAGGCAGGGTCCCCCCGGGGCCGCTCCTGGCAGCCAGCAACAGCCCCAGCCCAGCACCCCGGGGCTCTGGTGCTCCAAAATGTTCCTCCTGCTCCTGGTGGCCTTTAGCAGCCAAGCTGTGATGGCACACGGGGAGCAGGAGCCCGGCTGTGGAAGGATTTAGCTGAGTTTCTGCCCAGATTGCTGCTTTTTGAGCATCCCTGCTCTCTCCAGGGCATCCTCGCTCCCTTGTGCTGGTCCAGCACCCCGGTGGGAGCCCACTAGCATCACAGAAGGATGGAGATGGGGCTTTTCCCCCCAACCTTTCCCAGTGTTTGTGTGCAGAGCAGGGATTTGTCCCCACGGGAAGGATCCGAATGGAGAACTGGGCATGGGCACGGCTGATTTCAGGTGTTCCCCCGACAGGGTGGGAGCTGGTTTGGAGGCAGAGGAGCGGGGCTGTTGCACCCCTCTGTCCACCCCAGGGTGCTTTCCTTGCTGGGGCTGCACATAAACCCGCCGTCAGCCACAACTCTGTCACAGATGTCCCAGGACGTGGATTTTTTTCTCCAGTTTTAGTGCTGGCGTAAAGCTAAATTATGGTAGTTGTCAGCTTTAGCTAAAAAACTGGCATCTCCCTCCTGCCCGTAAAAACGGCCGGCGGTGGGACCTGGGGGCTGGAAGAGCTGGAGGAGAGGTGAGTCAGCTCCCGTTTTCTGGAAATTATAGGGAGCAGTTTATGGTGCTGTGGAGCTGGGACTGGTGCTGGTGGGTCGGCCGTGGTCGGGGTCACTGACACCGCAGCAAAAGCCACGGCGGGGTGGCCATGGAGAAGCTCTTCTCCATCCCTCCACGTCCCTCTGCAACATTGGCAAGGACCAGCAGCACCCTCAGCCCCCTCCTGGGGCCAGTGGCCGGTCCGTCCCAGGGTGAGGATGGTGGAAGCTGCCTTCAAGCTAAATCCAACCCAAAAACTCTTAGGGCACCTGCCAGGGATCGAGCACGGAGACCTCGGGAAGTACTGGAGGGCTGCACCTCCACCCCGGGGCAGAGGGCTGGCCCCTCATTTCCAGGACACACCGATGCTTTAAACGCCGACTTCGGAAAAGCGGGAGCGGAAGAGTTTTACACCTTCACAAAACAATGTTCAAGAAGGAAATGAGCAGCCAGGAATTGTAATTGAGATGGATGAAAGGGCGGGCGGCTTCCCCCAAAGCGTTTCAGGCAACCTACTTGAGAAGAATATGAAGTGCTGCTGCTCTCTAAAGATCGCCACGCTGCGGCTAAATTATTAATGACTAGGAATGATTTCATATTTAATCTAAAGACTATTAATTACACTGCAGAAGAGCAACACACCATCCTGAGAGCCCCTCTCACCAACTGAATAATTTAGTGATGCCCCATATTTTACCTCAATGTCAAGGCGGGCGGCGACACACCTCCTGCCTCTGCAGCCCCGTGGCATTTGGGGCAGACGTTGATGTCCCAAGAGTGTTGGGGACTAACCCCAACCTACAGGCACCCTACCCTGATGCAGGGTGATGGGTGGAGGGGGGCATGGGGGGCTCCCATGGGGCTGGGGGCATGGTTGTCCCCCCCACCCTGGCTGGGCTCGAAGCCCATCAGCAGCCCCAGGCTGTGGAACTGCTGAAGACAGATGTTTATTTGTCCAGCATTATTTGCTGATCGCTGTTACGGTGATCCAAGATGATCATTAAAAAGTGAAATGGGCTGTTTAATAATAATGCTCAGAGCACGCAGTGCGCCTCGCATTACGAGGATGTTTAAGCACGAGCCCAATTAAGTCCCTCGCATCCCTCCAGAATTACCCCAGTTGTGCAAACTATTAGGCAAACTCCAGGCTCCTGGTACTCGCAGGCAATCCCGGAGCCTGGCGCTCTGCTAGAGACCCATTTCTATCCTGAAGCTAAATTAAAATCCTATTGTGCCGGTGCTGCTAATATTTCCTGCTCTTGTTTCCAACAATTAAATGGTGACACTCTGCCAAAACGTACAAGGAAATTAGAAAACGCTCTCGAGCAGCTGGGAAGAGGAGGCAAATCCTCCCCCCACCCAGATGCAGCGGTGACAGCCGTGGGGAAAACAGCCCCCGAAGGACCAGGCAGCGGCGGGTGGACACAGGAATTCACAGTTCTCCGGGTGGTGTGTGTGGGGAGCAGGATGTTAAATATGAAGTTGAAAGGTTTTTCTTTTCTTTTTAGGAAAGAAATCTGTGACCTGGATCCATGCGGTACCAAAAATGCAAAATGCTGATGATAAGGAAGGCCTGAAGGATGGTTGCTACCACCACCACCTCCAGCACCTCCAGTGGCCTGATTCTTCCCACAGAGGTACCATCACAGCCTTTTGAATACCCCCCCCCCAATTTCTAATTCTCTTTTCCCCCTTGTCTCTGCTCCCCTGGCTGCTGCCCACCCCGGTGGTCCTCAGGGAGGGCTTTGGGGGACCCATGCCCCATGCAAACCCCCAAAGTGAGCCCCCCCATAGAGATGCTCCCTGGGTCGATGTGGGCAGAGCTGCACTGTGGTTACTCCCGGGGAGAAAAGGGGTGGTGGGGACCCACAGGGTGGTGGGGGACCCACGAGGTGGTGGGGTCCCCTGTAGTGGGACGGGCAGGAACCCGCACAGCTGGCAAGAACAAGTTACCTGGTGGGGTGAAAGAGGGGAAAATAAAAGGCTGTTTAAGAAAGAAATGACTATTTGGTCATAGCTTAGAAGTTGGTACTTAGAAATTCCATGAATTTTAAAATAAAGACATCTGTGAGGTTTGAACTTTCTTTTGAATACTCACAAACTGCAGAGCCTAATACCTTCCCCGGCCATTAAGGAGCTGTGCTGGAAAGCAGAGCACGCTAAGTACTACACTGATAGAGCAGTTAAACACAGTAATAGAATTGTGTTTGGAGAGGCTGCAAAGCCAGGTATAGAGCCCATACATAAACAAGGCCATTACCAGCCAGGGTAAGCGGTGATAGAATTTCATGAATATCCCCACAAAAAGCTTTGTATATTTATAACAACCTACAGAGTCGTTTGGAGCACAGTCAGGGGCTTTTCAGAGTAATTTCTGGAGTTAAAATGTATGACAGATCTGGGTGTCTCTGCTCGGGGGGGATCAGGAGCAGCCGCTGCAGGAGAAGGTGCTCAGGGCAGAGAGGTCCTGGGGTGCTGCTTGGGTGGGAGAGGGGCACCCCCAGCTGGGCACCCTCCTGCCCGATCACGGCCCCAGGGTACTGAACCAGTGACAGCCTGGTGGGTATTGCCCACAATTTTTTCCAATTTCCAACTTTAGACACTCTTTTTAGAAAGTTTTTTAAGCCCATCCTCTGTTTGCAGGGAAGGGGAAGCAGAGGGGTGCTGCTTCCCCAGCTGGGATGGAGAGGGGAGCAGGAGAAGTGCTTGCTCCTCCTCCACCTGCCTGGGGAAGCTGCCACGGGGCAAGAGATGGAAGTTTCCATGTCTCAAAAAAAAGAGAAATGAATCTGGGATCCATCAGCCTCGAAGCATCAGGACGGGACTCCTGAGCAGGACACAAGGCAGCACTCAGCAAGAAATCCACACGCTCAACCTCTGCAGCTTAAAAACAGGAAAACAACCTCCTGAGAGTATTTATTGCTTTAATTTAAACATATAGATACTTTAAACTTAGGAAAACTTCGCTTTGCAACTCTAGCAAAACCCGAACGCCAGCGATAGGTACGCAGCCCCAGCACGAGCCATAATAAAATGCTAATTGCAATTCATAAATTATATCGGGATGCCTGGGACTATTGAGGATCCTGGATGAAGTGTAGTGTTCAATTTATCCTGTGCGTGTTGCCGACAGTGCTGCCAGCCTCCTCCTTGTCCCCCTGTGTTGTTTTGTCATCTCTGTACTATCACCAATTCATCACAAAGGCAACTGAACTCTCCGATGTCCACCCACCGGGTGACTTTGTCTTCGCTACTCTATGACTTCTAAATTAAATTGTCAAAACACATTACCGAGAAAAATATCGCGAAGGGAAAGTTCTTTACCCTTTTATCCCGTCTTAAGAGGGAATCGGTTTGATTTGAAGAAAACATGTCTGCTTCATTATCCCTCCTGCTCTCATATTTCTTCACTCAGCAGCAGCAGGAAAAGAGAGTCGATAACACAAGTCTTGGATGACGTGATGGAGCATCCCACAGGAGTTGTCTCAATAAATTCTGAGATTGCCCAGGAAAAGCGAGGCTGGGGGGGCACGTAACTTTCACTCTCTTTTATTCCTCCCACTCTCAGACAATTTGAAAGAGATTCTGGGGTTTGCTGGTGTGGTTTTCCTTGAGCTGGATGTCCCCACTCCACCTGCACTGGTTGGTCTGGAACGAGCTCTTGGGAGTCCTTGCAAGAGAAGAAATTAGCCCAGGAGAGGCACAGCCAGTGTCCTTGGACCCACGTCTGACGGTGACAACTTGCAGACATTAGAGCAGCCCCAAAACTGCTCCAATTTGCACCAAAGGAGACCCTGGGCAGCAGCGCCTGCTCCCACACCCCTCTTTGGTTCCTGCAGGAGTCAACACAAATGGTTCTCCACTCCCCAGGTACTCCCCTGTGCTACACCAGGGTGTTTGGCTGTGGGTGGGCTCTGTCCCTCTCCCCTGGTCTGCTTTAACCCCCCCTCCAGAACACGGGGCAGCCCCCAGGCCAACAAAAATCATCAAATCAACAGAGTTTCACAACCGTCTTACCTGGGACCCGTATCATTCTCAGGGAGGGAAGAGGTTCCTGCTGCTAGATGCAATCACGGAAAATAATTCACCTGGAGACATAAAACAAAAGGAGCCATTTCTCCAAGGAAAAGAGCTGCCGATTTCCCTCTTTTCTCATTCACACATCGGTCTCTGGCCATAATGGATCAGTCATAAAAAGCAAGTAACACATTGTGCACTCATTCTTTTGGCTTTGGACAATATTAACATAATACACACATATTGTTTATTTATTCTGCTACAGCGCAAGTAACGGAGGTAATGCCCGACGTTTAAATGGGGTATTTTTAAATGCCCACATTTCCTTAGCCGTTATGATGCATTAGCCATCAGTAGTCAAATTGCCTTGTATTTGCAATTTTATGGCTACATTTTATCAAGCACACGGGAGCCGCATTCAAAGCTTGAAAATAAAGTATTCCACTTGTGTTAGGCAAGCACTGTTTCGATGCAAGATATGGCCAGAAAGCAGAAATCTCCTTTTTTTTTCTGCCTCGGCTTCAGATTCATCTCCAAATATTGCTTTTATTCACAGTAGCGGCTGCTCAGAGCCCCCTTTATGGCTGTGTGACTTCCACGCAGCCTCCCCACACCCAGAGCTCACAACTGCCATGAAATCACCCAACCTTTCTTCCCCGTTTTAAAATATCTCCTACTAAAACCTTATCCTTCCTCTTCCTCCACCACCGGGGTCACCAAGAGCTGCCTTCCTGAGTTGGCACCCAGACTTCCAGCTCTACCCACAAAGCAGGAAAAGTTGCAGGGAGCAAATAACTGTCAGAAGAATAATCAGAAGAAGGTAATCAGAAGAAAAGAGCGGCCAGGACACAGCCTCGAGCAGCGCTGGCTGGAGCCAGGGCTTCCCGCTGGTGGGGCAGGACTTGGGGGTCACCCCACTGCTGCCCCCCGGGACCTGCACCTTCTCCTCGGGCGAGTCCCAGGGGACACCCCAGGGCTCCAGGGCCACCCTCCTTGGGGGTGAAACTCGTGCAGGTTGTCCCCAAAAGGAGCTGGTGCTGGCGGGGAGTTGGCTGAGGAGGAATTTGCTCCCTCTCGTGGGCTCCGGGAGCCGGTGTCTCCAGCAAGAACGGAGGAAAGGGATGGGATTCCTTCACATCTTGGAAAACGGGAAAGAAAATCTCCCCTTTGGCCCCTGGGAGCTGCCGGCCCAGCGCGATTTAGGCATAAAGACCCCAAAAACGCACTCTTGAGTGGGGGCTTCAGCAGTAACTTCTGCTTCTGACAGCCTAAAACTAAATCTGCTCTTTGATGGGATCGACTCTTGGCTCTCCGGAGCTCCCGGCTCCTTCTCGAATAACACTTTATTGCCTTTATTGTCTCTGGGTCTGCTAATTCTGTCTGGATTTATTTCTTCCAGAGAGCTTCAGCTGCCGTTCAACCAACTCCAGACTGTGTGTAACATGAATATTACAGCGCTCTCTCCGAGATGAAACGATGACATAGTCCTCACATTTCCTAGACAAGCACAGCTCCGTTTAATACACACATAAAACCCCACCAGCTAGAGCTGAAGTCTTTTTTGGTTTTTTTTTTTTTTTTTCAAGCTCCCTTTAATGGCAAATTTAACACCAAAAAGCCCCCCAGCCTGTCAGGCTGCCGGCAATAATCTGGGGAGGGAAAACAAGCCAAGGCACATGGAGTGTGTAGAAAGAGCCTGGGCAGCCTTTCCCTATGGATTAGGCTTCAAATTTTGTCACTTGCTCCCCTGGAAGTGACTCTCTACGGCCTGGGGCACCTGGGATGGGAGATGGGCAGAGATGGACAGGCAAGGCCTGGCTCGGACAGACAGACCTGGGACAGACAGATGGACAGGCCTGGGACAAACATGTAGGCCCCAAACAGGACAAGCCCTGGTCAGACTGACAGGCCCGGGACAGACTGATGAGTCCTGGACAGACTGACAGGCCCAGGACACACAGAGAGGCCTCAGACAGACAGACAGGCCCCAGACAGACTGACAAGCCTGGGACAGACAGACAGACCCTGGACAGACAGGGCAAGCCCTGGACAGACTGACAGGCCCTGGACAGACAGACAGGCCTGGGACACACAGACAGGCCCTGGACAGACTGACGAGTCCTGGACAGACTGCAGGCCTGGGACAGACAAACAGGCCCTGGACAGACAGGACAGGCCTGGGACACACAGACAGGCCCGGGACACACAGACAAGCCCTGGACAGACTGACAGGCCTGGGACAGACTGAGAGGCCCTGGACAGACAGGACAGGCCTGGGACAGACAAACAGGCCCTGGACAGACAGGACAGGCCCCAGACAGACTGACAAGCCTGGGACAGACAGACAAGTCCTGAACAGACTGACAGGCCCGGGACACACAGACAGGCCCCGGGCAGACTGACAGGCCTGGGACAAACAGTCCAGGCCCTGGACACACAGGCCATGGACAAACAGGCCCTGGTCAGACTGACAGGCCCGGGACAGACTGACAGGCCCGGGACACACAGACAGGCCCCGGTGCCGTGGGGCCGCCCCGCTCGGTGCGTCTCCGAGGGCGGCTTTAGCCTCTCCCGGTGCCCAGCACCGCCACCCGCCCGCCGGGGCTGTGTCCCCCGCCCGGCGGCGCCGCCGGCAGCTCGCGGTCTCCCTCTAACGGCGGAAGGGAGAACGCCGCGTCCCCCGGCCGCCCCCTCCCGCCCGGGCGCGGAGGGCAGGGACCCCCCGGGACCGGCGGAGACCCCGCGGCGGGTGGCGGCGGGGCAGCCCGCTGACCCAGCGCTGCCCGCTGACACAGCGCTGCCCGCTCCGGCCCTCAGCGCCACGGACTACAGCTCCCAGCGTGCCCCGGGGGAGGACTACATTTCCCACAATGCCCCGGGGCGGCGGCATTCCCACAATGCACTGCGAAAACATGTTCTTTAAAAAAAAGATAATTATTTTTTTCAGTCTGAGCCACCCCTCCGTCCACTGTGTCTTTAATAAACATTGAAAAAATCTTCCTTGCGCACCCAGAAGTCAGAGGGCTTTATTCCCGCCCCGGGAGCGTCGCGGCCTTCACTTCCGGCGCATCCTCCAGAAAACTACATTTCCCGGCATGCCCCGCAGCGCCACCCTCTTTCCTCTTCCGGTCGCGGCGGGAGCGCCCCCGTCCCCTGGGAGGGACCGGCGGGCCCAGGCGGTGACAGGAGCGGCGGCGGCGGGGCCGGGACAGGGCGGCGGGGACAGGGCAGCGCCGCCGGGGGCCACACCGAGCTCCCCTTCTCCCAGCGCGGCCCGGCCGGGCTCGCCGCTCCCTTCGGGCCTGGCGGGGTCACCTTCATGGGCTGGCGGTAGCGCTGGGCCCGGAGGACGGCGGGGCCCGGGGCCCG